TTTTAATTACTATACTATTTTATATAATTAATGATTTATCTTGAATAAAATTACTGAGTTTCTTGAATATTTAAGAATATTACAGTTAAAATATCAACTAATATAAATAATATTATCTTTTGGATCATTTTTCTTTTTAATATTATTATTGAATATGTTAAAAATGCAGCTTCAGATGTAAAGACAAAAAAAATAGAATTGGTAAAGTATTAAAAAATTTGATTGTATTTATTAGTTTACTTTTAACAAATTAATTATTAGTTTTATCACTTGTTGTAGTATCTATAACAGCAAGAAAAAAGTTAATTCAATATTATTCTAAAACAATTATAACTATAATATTATATATCTTATTGGATCAAAAAAGAAAATTTTATTATTTCACAAAGAAGAAATTTTAAGATAATAAGATTGATAAAACAAAAGAATTGTAAATTATTTTATTTTGAATATTTTATTTTATTTTCTAACTCTTATAATAATTAATCTTTTAGAATGTACACACTTTTTGAAATAAAATATATATCAACTAATATTTTTACATTAAATAACAGCTTATTAGCCTTAATAATATTATAAAATTAGTTATATATTTTATGCTGAATACAGATTTTGATAATTAAGAAGAAGAAGATTTTGATAAAATTGAACATTATATCTCTGAGAAGCTGATCAATAAGAAAATCAATGTGCTAGTATAGTGAAAGATAAATAATAATAGTTATTTATTAAAAATAATAATTTAAAATTGAGTAATATGATATTAGATATATCAAATACAATTTTCTCATCTTTTCTGTATGGCTCATAATTATCTGACAATTTCAGTATTCTTTGTTATTTCTAAATGTGTATTCTCTGCTGATGGAAGCATGATTACAAATAAGAGATCTAGCTTAATATCTAAGATCATAAGAATAGCACAGTGTCTCTGATTATAAATATAGAGATCATTAAAAGAAAAGTTAGATAACTATGTGATAATTTAAAAATAATTAGATTTTTGTATAATAAATATTAATTTTATTAATATAATATCATGTTTTAAATATTTTGATATCAAATTTGAATTCATAAATTATATGTACTTAGAATTAAATAATATTTTTATTGCAATATCATTAAAATGCTCTGGTTTTCAAAACTAAACTTGAACTTGTTTATGAACTTCAAACTGAACTCATAATGATATTTGTATTCAATTTTGATTCAGAAATTGTGAGTTCAGGCTTAGATTTGGTTCAAAAAAAATGTAAAATCTCTGTTTAGGTTCAGATTTAGTTCAGTTCAGTTTGAAAGAAGTAAAGATGATCTCCTAAATTATTTTTTGGAAAAAATGGTATTTTGGCAAATAATTCAATTTTCATATGTCTAGAAATACTTGTTTTGGTTTGTAGAATTCAAATAATTTCAGAAAATAATTTTGGTTACTAATAAAATAAGTCAAAATAATTTCAGATTTAATTTCAATAAGTTAATTTCAGCAAATTATTTAATTAGGTAACATTATTTTAGCAAACATCCTTAGATAGGAGCACTAATTTCAAAGAACTCTATTCAAGCATGTAGAATTCTTAAGCATATTAATACTTATAGATGAACAATTCACAGTATTTATTATAATATCACTTGATTATGTACAAATGATGTTCTGGCAATCTAAGAAAATTGCACTCGATGTACAGTACCTCCAAAAAGTAACGTCCAAAATTATAATAAAACATATATAAATGGAAATTTTAAGCTATGTATATATCTGATTTTTTAAATAATAATTATATCATTTTAAAGCTAATTGATTGTATTTTTGAACAAGACTTGTAGCAACTTAAAATGCAAGGACAGTTTTGATTGGAAAGTAAAAAAATTTTTCCTATGCTTTATATATGCAAATTTAAAATTATCTATATTTTTGCTAATAATTATTTCTAAATTTTATATCATTTTAAAGCTAATCAATTATACTTTTAAAAAAATGAATAAAACTTACGGGACTTTTAAAACGAAAGAACTGTTTTAATTATAAAATCAACTGAAAATTTTTATATGTATTTTACTATATAATTTTAAATCCGCGATACTTTTTGGGGTACTGTACACAATAATTTAAGTTGAATTTTCGTGAATATAATTAATATTTGTCATTTATTTTGTAAAGATTGTCAAAACAAGATTTATCTAATACTATTATGACAATGGCTTTGACTTATAATCTAGCGCTAGTAATGGAACTGCTTAAACTGATTTACCAACCGTTAGTTAATTACTATGATTTAAATCTAAAACTTTGTGCATTATCACCATTTTATTTTTAAAATAATGATTATTCACTGTATTATGTGATAGATAATATCACGTAAACTATTTGTCATAAATGAAAATATTTCAAATTTTATGTTTATTTGTACTATCTAGTACAAGAAAAGCCAGAACCACTTGTTTTATAATTCCCATTAACAATCAAACATATGTTTTCTTTGTAATATTTTATGAATACAATATAAATATTTGTATTGAATTCATCTAAAGTTGTTTACAATCACACAGGGATGAATTATCTGTGTATTCAGAATCTAATTTTGACTGAAATAGTTTAGAATTTTAACAGTATTAAACCCAAATTTTCTGGGCGTAAAATATAATACGACACCTGATCGCTTGTACATTTATAGATTGGTAGAGCTTCTATATCGAATATTAGATATACAATCAGTCATTTTATAAACATACATATCAATATACAAGAATCTAATTCTTGACATCCAGTGATCCGATTTGAACAAAAATATTATTATTCGATTTGTCTCGACTAGACAAATCGAATGATAGTATTTTAGTCAAATCGGATCATTGGATGACGAAATATTGCGGCTTAAGATAACAAATCAATATTAACAAAAATTGGTTAGCCAATTTAGGCTGTAATATCTCAACGTCTAGTATCAAAAATTAATACCTTTGATTGTCTTGACTAGATAAATCGAATGGTATTATTTCTATTCTAATGAGATCACTGGAGGTCGTGATTATTTCTAGATCGACAAATATGAATCTGTTACTAATGCTAGGATGTAATATCTCGACATCCAGTGACAAAATTTGAGCGATAATATCACCATTTGATTCGCCTAGGTTAGACAAATCGAATGATAGTATTTTCGCTAAAATCGGGTCGCTGGACGTCAAGATATTATGTCCTAAAGTGACCGATTTATTGTATTTGGGACATGAAAGTTTACGTACTTAAAATACCCAATTTAGAATCTATAAATATACAAGCGAACAAGTGTCGTATTATTTTAACGCCCAGAAAATTGGGTGATCGTTATAGTATAATTTTGGGCAATGCCGGGCGTTCCGGTGCTATGGCTGCTACTGTAAGTTGTTATTACATGTACATGTATATGGTTTTTGAGTTTTAGTTATTAAGTAAAAAATTAGATTACCATCTGAGGTTTTGGATTTTGAGGAATAGTTGTACTGTATGTATGCTTGCTTTTGATTAAAAAATTTTTTGACTGCATCTTATATTGGGAAGTCATGTAGGTGTAATTATCAATAAGAGACAATATTTCATGTTTTTTAGTATTTTCTAACATGCGGAAATCTTTTAATTTGTTTATGAAATTGAAATACTGTACTCTGTTTCTCAGAAAGAACATGCAATAATTTACTTACCAATCAATAAATAATAAATAAGTTTTTGTTAACAAAGACTTTAATAGATAATTACATGCATTGATTATGATTTCTTATCATTGAATCTCATAAAGAGCACAAAAGTATCGAGCATCAAAACACATCCAAGTGGCACAGCTCGAGTCACTAGGTAACTGTGCTACTTTTATCTAGTACTTTAGCCATGGCGAATAAAATGTACGGTACACGTGATCTGAAATAAGTCCATTAAATATTAGATATCAAGTATTAGGGTTAGGGTTAGAGCTGAGATCAAGGTTATATATAAAATTGTCTTTTCGACATTTTTTGATAGTGCGCCAAGCTAGATTTGTATTTTTCGCATTTTTTGTCTTTTCTCATTTTCTTGTACCGGATTTGTTTTGTCGGATTAATCAAAAATTTACTACATTCCTATTGGTTGCGCAGAATTTTTGCGCATTCTTATTCATTATCACGTGCACCGTACATTTTATTCGCCATTGCTAGGGTACTAACTTTTATCATTTCTACAGGAATGATAATACAGCTATCATACGTACATTTAGTACGAAAAATCAATGTAAAAGAACGCCTTTAAAAGGAAAAAGAATAATGAGAAAAAAATTTAGTACGAAAAAAGAAAGCACGCCTTTAAAAAGAGTACGAACAATTAATTAAAGAACGCCTTTAAAGGAAAAAGAATAATGAGAAAAACATTTAGTACGAAAAAAGAACGCACGCCTTTAAAAAGGAGTGCGAACAATTAATGCAAAAGAACGCCTTTAAAAGGAAAAAGAATAGTGAGAAAAATTGTGTATTGTTATACAATTCATGTTCGGGCAGTTTTAAATATGTATCGATATGCAGAAAACCAAATCTGACAAAAAATTTCTTCAGATTGTTCATCAACGAAGTTATTTACCGCGGTAGCATTTAGCGTGGTGGCTAGCACTAGTTTAAAAAATCGTATGAGCAGTAAAGTTAATGTCAAATAGGTAATGATTTGCATGGTAAGAAACGTATATATAACGATAAGCCCTGAATTAAATATCACTAAATTTTTTCTTTTGGAAGCTGAGACGACTTATCGGTAAGTTTCGTCAGATATTGAACTTAGTGTAACATAAATAGAAAAAGACAAAATGACTTTGATCATAAACTATTTCTTACTCAAAACGTACCGAGTACTCCATTTAATATAAATATCTTTCCTACAAAAATGTTTAAGGACAATAATATCAAATAATTGTTATTATTATCACTTTAACCATCGGAAAAAATTGGTTTTATTTCTCGCACGAAGATTTATCTAATAAAATTTATACATTTCTTTTATTAAAATGAGCTCAAATAAGCAAATAACCAAACGCGTGCGCTCTCAAGAGGGACAGGAAGTAATCTCAGTGAATAAACAACAAAAAATCAATAGTAGCGAATATTGTAATTATAGTTTATATCAATATTTCATTTAAAATTTTTCAATACTGTATTTCATTTAAAACAACGGTTTATTTCTAAATTTAGCTAAACGATATCGGGAAAAAAAGAAACAAGAACTCATTGATTTGCAGGAAAAATATGAATCACTTGGTGAAGCAAATCAGAAATTAATTATAGAACACTTTGATTTGCAGAAAAAAAACGCATCGCTTGATGAAGAAAATCAGAAATTAAGTATAGAAAATACTTCTCTGCGTGACAAAATACAGAAATTGGTATTTGAAAAAGACTCCCTTAATTTAAATTGGATGATGTTTTTTATTAGTATTTCGTCGTCTAATCAAGAGCTTAATGAAAACGTACCTTTTTCGCTTGATCAAAATCTAAATACGTTTTTATAACTCCATTATCTCCTATTTCTCCACCGAATCCAGAGATTAATAATTCGTCATCTATTAATGCAAACAACACACTTCTTTCGCTTAATCAAAATCTAAATACATTTTGACGACTCCATATCTTCTGTTTCTCCACCGAATCAAGAGATTGATATTTCATTGTCTAATCACAAAATAAATGATTTACCTTATAATTCTATTAATGAAAACACCCTCTTTCGCTTAATTAAATTTTAAATACATCTTTTAACTTAATTATGTAATCATTGTAAATTCTTATTCATTTTTCAATAGAAATTTGGTTTCAATTAACTTTCACATTGATCCTTATTATTAGCATTTTGGTGAAAAAAACATGCAGTGATCGACCAAAAATACATGTACATGTATAAGGACACCGAAATATTGTACTAAAAGTGAATGCGTTAAAGCGGAGTAGTCACGTGTAAATAGACCAATCCAATTGTAAGATCATGTGTAACACGCAAAATTCAAGACAAACTAAAAATTGCAAATTTTACTATAACAACTAGCTTTCAACCTCTAAGTAAATGAGATTTTAGATATAGTCTAGTCTTGAAAGTTAACACCTTATCTAACAAAATTTCTACGTAATAAATTTTATAATTAATAAAATTACTCCGCTTTAACCTTCCCCCAAAGCTAAATCTTAATAGTGAATTTGATGTTGATGATGTTTCGAACACAGATGATTAAGATCAACAAAATTTTCCAAAACATCATTTGTGAACTTTGAAGTTTTAATACAATAAATGCTAATAAAAAATGTTCCTTAAACTCTAGTCCAAATTTAAAGTACATGTAATTCGCGAATTCGCGAGATATTGTGCAATAAATAAATTTCTTTTTGAGGCGAACGTGCATAAATAATTTACGTTCTATGAAAGCCCATATTCATTTTCATTGGCTAAAATTAATAATAACGATGGAACATGTTCATTGATACGACTCTATCAGGACGATCCCTAAAGTTCGGGTCATGTGATAATGTTTTGTTGATGTCAGCGATGATGACCATTTAAATCACAAGATCAACGTGTAACACAAGAATTCAAATGCATATTTTTAAAAAAAGCTTGTATGGTGCGTAAAATCTAAAGTCATCAAACGTTTGTATTTTATAAAATGTATAAACTTCTTTACTAAGAAGTAAATACAAAATATAATCCGTGAATATGATAGAATAGACCTTTTCTGAGCATATTCACGGATTAAATTTTATATTTACTTCTTAGTAAAGAAGTTTATACATTTTATAAAATACAAACGTTCGATGACTTTAGATTTTATGCACCATAGAAATATAAATTATTACTAACGCTAAGATTGTGATGGGGATACTTTACACTGGCAAAAACCATTGATTCGAGAAAAATAATACATGTACAGAGGGATCAACTAAATTTAGGACAGTCGTTGAAAAAGTCGATTTTTTTACTAATGTAATGATTTTTCATGTAGTAATCAATACGATATAGTGAAATTTGGAACAAATGATTATTTTACAAGCTTTGAACTATCATTTTCCAAAATTTTCATTCGTGAACTTTGAATGAGAGATTAGCCACAATGCCAAATTTTAACACAATAAATGCTAATAATTAAAAATGTTCATCAGATTCCATTTTATACATTTGCAAATTCTCATTAAGTTTGAGCATTAACCGTTGAGTTATTGTGTAAATGTAAATTCTTTTTAAGATGGATTTACATATACAGTACAAAGATAGGTTAAATTAATATGAAAAAACATCTTCATTTCCATTGGTTAAAAATGCGCACCAATTTCTAAATATAGTAATTAAGTAATTATTAATTTTAGCTAATGAAAATGAAGATGGGTTTTCATAGTTGTAAATTCATCTCATCACATGTTCAAAATAGTTTTGCGTTTTTGCACAATAGTTCGTGGATCAATGCTCAAAACCTTATGTAAATTTGTAAATGTATAGAATGGAATCTGATGAACATTTTTAATTATTAGCATTTGTTGTGTTGAAATTTGGAATTTTGGCTAATCTCATCCAAAGAATGAAAGCTTTGGAAAATGATATTTCAAGCTTGTAAATAATCATTTGTTCCAAATTTCATTATATTGTATTGATTATTACATGAAAGATCATTGTAGTAGTAAAAAAATTGACTTTTCATAGTATCATATTTATTCATTATTTTAAATTTTTAACTACTGTCATAAATTTAGTTGTGCGATCATTAATGAGAGATGAATAAGAAAAATACTCACACTATTTACAATTTCCGATGCTTTTTTGCAAGTACCGGTACTTAGTCGCAAAGATTACCATTTCAGCCCATTCGGTGTCAACATGATACGAATTACATAATTATAATATTTAAAAATAAATTAAAACCTGATATTTCACAATCAGATTGACCGTTACATTTTCTAATTTCTTTTCTTTGTATCACCAATCTCAGAAGATTCCTCGCACATCTTTTCACAGCAACTGATTGACTACGAAACATTTTCTTTACTAACGCTTTTTCACTTGCCTCCGAGAACCTCTTTCTCTAACGGATCATTGGTAGTTAAATTCTTGTTTCCTCTACATATGATGGACGAGGATTAAGTCCTTTAAGATATTTGAGATCTGATAGCACTTTCGCTTGCTTCGATATTTCATTAAAGATTTGTGCGCCCGCTTCTAAATTGAATATGCTAATTACAGTGTTGTTACTGGAAGCTACTGGAAGCCCACCGGAAAGTCACTGGAAGTAAAATTATTGATTGGAATGCCACTAGAAGATTCCAGTCATCAAAAAATCTATTAAAAGTATAACCTAATTATCAATATGTTATCCTTATATTACATTGTATAAATTTATCTAGTTAATTTCAATGAATTTTTAATTTTGACTTTCACTGGAATACTCCAGTGGCAACACTGCTAATTGCTTCACAGATTTTTTTTGGTGTACCCTTAGGGTGAATTCATTTCCTAGTGGTTACCTAGATATTTCATTGAAGTTGGAAGGAAATCATATGGATTTTAAAAACCACTAGGGAATCCAGAATTCCCCTAGAGTTCTCAAAAAAACCCCCATTAGCGTGCCACCTCTTTTTTACCTGTGCTCGACGTTAACATAAATTGTTCATCCAATTATATATCTCTGAGTATTCAATTACCCTAGCGTGTCAAAAATTTTCACCCGCACATAATGATACTTGACGATACGAAACATTTCGTCACGTCAATTTGACGAAACCTTTCGTCACGACCATTTTGAAAATGTCTGTGACGAATGACGAAACCTGTGACGAATGGCGAAACCTGACGAAACCTATGACGAAACCTTCTGACCAATAAAATACTAGTTGATGCCGGACATTTTTGTAAATGAACGAATGCAAAATGCATACATGTATTTAAATATCAATAATCCATGTACATGTACTGGTACATGTATTGATTTTCACGAAACCTTTCGCCACTTTGGAAATGTAAGTGGCGGATGACGAATGACAATTTTGGCAAACTAAACCATAAAAACAATAGGTCAAGTCAAGCTTTATCAATTTATTGGTTTATTTTTTACCAGATATATATTTAAAATTATACACTTTTTGTAATGCTAGCCAAAATTCAGCATAATTTTGATCGTTTATGACCTTCAGCCAATCAAACACATATACTAGATTTCTCATGATCGTGATGTAACATTCTTTTAAAATTCGGAATACGTATATTTGTACATGTGATTTTAGCTATTATTTTGGTTGGTCAGAAGGTTTCGTCACAGGTTTCATCAATCATCATATAATTAAGCTATTATTTTGATTGGTCAGAAGGTTTCGTCACTAGTTTCGTCAATCGTCACTAGTTTCGTCACTGGTCACAGGTTTCGTCAATCGTCAGGGGTTTCGTCTGACGAATGACGTGACGAAATGTTTCGTCATCATAAAAATAATTTCGTCAGGTATCATTACATACAATACGATTTCTTGTGTGTGATCCATGTAAGAACCCGTAACTAACAAAATAACAATAAATCCGGTGTAAGTGACCAAACATGATCATAGACTCGTGACCGTAAATGCATGATCTGAGAATCTAAAAGTAACAAACAACATGACAATGAACCATGGATTGGTGAGAATTGTACAGAAAAATTTGCCAAAAATCTATAACGTAAATGAGTTGGTTGGACTTTATATTTCGGGTAGATCTAGTTCAAAGATGGAATGTAGCAGTCCTCAATAGATCGAATATTGAAAAATCGTATGATTAACTCAGAGTACAAGAGGAAAAACATTGTGGTTAGTAATTAATTTAGACAAAGAAGCAAAATGAAACATATTTAGATAAAATTAATAATAATAAGAATGAAGAGATATCAATTTATAATTGTAGTAAATGTACTCATTGCATTATCAAAAAAAATAATTACTTTAGTGAATGTTTTAATTTTTACAATCAACTTTATGAAACTAAATGATTTACTAAAAGTAAGAATATTGACTATCTAATAAAAGAATATATAAAAATCAGACAGTATTTCAAATGAATCTCTTTTGAAAAATCTACCAATATTGAATATCTTGAAAAAATTTATAAAGCATTATTATATTTAAAGCTCTAACTAGTTTAGATCAATCTGAAATCTGATCTGAACCTGAGCCAAAAATTTCAGTTCAGATTGCGATTTTTCAATCTGAAAAAACTGGATTAGATTTGAATTCAGATCAGGTTATATCTGAATCCAAATTAATATAATCCAACTAGTTCAAATCAATCTGAAAATTTTGATTAGTTTAAATTTCTATTTTTGATTAAGCAAGAAATTTATTTATTATGTGTGAATGTGCATGAATTATTATTATTGTGATAAAAATAAAAGTTAAATCATATGATTATTATAATACTTTTACTTTTCTTACTAGTTTATAATAATATTTATATATCACTTTCTTTAAAAATTTACTAAAATTGACACCAAATATTAATTGTTAAAATCTTGAT